CACACCTAGGATTTTTTTTTTTTTTTTTTTTTTTAGATCAGTGTCTCATTTTATTATGCGTCACAGAAATCTGTGGTTCTAACTTCATCAAGAGCATTTGTCCTTCCTTTTTACATCAGCGTATTTTTATCTTTGTGCGTGTGTTCTCCAGTCCTGAAGCCGTTGGTAGAGGTACTCAGCGATCCAGATTCCATAAACAGGATGTTGTTGTCTCAGCTGGAAAAGAGGGAGCAGCAGGCTGAGCAGCAGAAGAAAGCCTACACCTACGCTGCCTCTTATGAAGACTTTATCAAACTGATATCAACTTCTACTGATGTCAATTTCCTCAAGCAACTCAGGCATGACAGTGACAACGTACACACACACAGTAGATGCCTACATTACCTCATTTAAGTAGACTATCCTGTACCTACATAGAATCAAATTAAACAAACCACGTGTGTCCTTATATACATAATGACAAACATGTTAACCAGGCAGTCTTAGCCACCAACATGTTTGCTGCTCAGGGGTTACCATGGGAACAGACAATGTCTCTGCAGCAATATACTTGATCTAAATGCAGGGTAGACATGATACTGCTATATTGTCTCGTTAGTTTGAGAAATGGTGGCTCAGTACTGGCTGCTTTTTGAAATGTTTATTCTTTTTGTTTGTTTTGATTTATTTTGGCCTCGTCACTTTCCATACTATATTTCCATCTTTCTGTGACGTAATTCATCTAATAATTGTATTTGTCTCCCGTCTTTCCTCCTTTGTAGGTATCAGATTGTGGTAGAGATTATTCATGCCACCACCATCAGCAGCCTGCCTCAGCTCAAGAAGCAGAAAGGTACAGACAACACTACAGTTTCCTGCATTTAAAACCTCAAAAGTATGGCAGCGTTTCAGTTCACGTTCACTGCCCCTAAAAAGCTAGCCAGGTATGCAATATAGGCATTCATTCATAGAAGTAAACAATAAGAGTACAGTCACGATTCCGCTTGTTTTGCAACAATTTGAATGGAAGTGATGTGAACATTTATCTGTCAGACACTTGCAATATGCCTGAGTTCAGCCTCGTGTCAAAGACTTTTAAGGACCAGGAAGTGACATTGAAAGCGAAGTTTCAGGACAGCTGTGTGAGCTTCTGCTGAGGAAATAATGTGAGCGTGGTTATAATGACATTACCAGAGCGACTTTAGTCGTAAATGTATTACAGCAAAGGCTGATGGGAATACATCATTAGTGTTGCAGGTGGTTGAGTCTGAAGGAAAGTATTGTATGTAAAAGTTTGAAACGGATGGACAGATAGCACCAGCTGATACAGATTTACAAACAATACAAGGGAATGAGTGGATTTGAACTGCCCTGCAGTGCAGCACCTAATTTTTATTCTCATTGATTGAGGGGGGAAATGGTCCATAAACTGTCTCCATGTGCACTTTTAAACACTATACTGTCTATACTGTGTGATCCTGCTGGACTACACAGTATTCTTTTCAATTTGCTTTTGGGGATTTTGGAGACCCAGTACTGGTTTCTGTTTGCACAGGCTGTTTGCTGTTGAAACACACAGTCCCTGTTCAGCAGTGAATGAATTCATGAGTACATTTAAAGGCCAGTCGGCTGTAGAAACTGCAAGTGCATTCACATGCTGTATCTGAAAATCAATGACCAATAAAGTTCACTTGTTGGTGTGCTTGGCTTGAAGCACATTTTCATAGAATCAGGCCATCGGTATGTATCAGCTTTATCCCGATAGTTCAGTGGCTCCACACCAGGTGATTGTGTGGCTTTGTGTTATTATGTGGCCAGAACTTGCTCAGACAGGCTTTCCCTCTCCCTTAGAGAAAAAAGGTAAAGAGTCAGCAGCCATGAAGGCCGACCTGCTGAGAGCCAGAGATATGAAAAGATATATCAATCAGCTGACTGTTGCTAAGAAACAATGTGAAAAAAGGATCCGCCTCCTTGGAGGGCCAAACTATGAGAATAGTGAGGAAGGAGGGGCCGATGACAACGACGAGCCTCAAAGCCAGAAGGTAAATAATATATCATGTAACTGATGTGGTCTCTCTTTATTTCCTGTAAGGTGTGAAATTACTTTGGTTCTTTTTTAAAAATTCTCTCCCCTTATGCAGATTCTCCAGTTTGATGACATCCTGTGTAATCCAAGTTACAGGGATCATTTCAGAGTTTACATGGAGAGAGTAGATAAGAGAGCTCTGATAAGCTTCTGGGAACTGGTGGAAACACTGAAAACTGCCAACAAGGTAACGGCTGCACACATTCTAGAGATTTTTACCCCAACACTTCTTCTATTTTTTTTTTTCTTTTACTGTTAGGCCTCAAAGTAAAAATGGCTTATTAGGCTTCCTGTTTGAAGTTACTTGTTTCATTGTCAAGAGCTCAAGAGGTGTGACGAGGCGATGGCATTCGTACTGAGATGTACACAAAAGTAGAAAATGGGAGTGCTTGATGAAAAAAGGGGATTGTAATTTTATTAAACAGTCTTGTATAAAGAAACGTAGCATAAAGCTTTTTGTGAGTTCAGTGCACAAAATCAGACTTGAAAATAACTGCACATAGTGTCAGCAAATGTCTTCTGCTTTAATGTCTTTAAACTTGGAATCTTCTGGTGTGGCTGTAACTGACAGTTAAAAGAAACTTTATTCATTTTATTAAAAGCTTTGGTGCAGCTTGTTAGTTCATCTGCCGTCTGAAGCAAGCTATTTTCACTCACCTCCTTTAAAGCCACTGATGTGACCAAATTTAGGATGTCCACTTGCATTCGCACCACATAAAGACTTCAGGGTAGAAATAAGAAAAACAGAAACTTGAGATTTTTGCTCACAGAGATTACATTAATTCAGTTTTATTTAAATAGTGTCAAATCACATTTGCCTGTTGAGAAAACCCCAACGATCATATGACCCCCTATGAGCAAGCAGTTGGCGATAGTAGGAAGGAAAAACTGCCTTTTAACAGGAAGAAATCAGGTAGAATCAGACTCTGGTATGGGCAGCCATCTGCCTTGACTGGTTGAGGGTGAAGGGAGGAAGACAGGACGTGTTAGTGTTAGTGATCCAGAGACTAATACTAACTAATGATAAATGTAGAGCTCTGTATAAACACAGTGAGGGAAGAAAGTAAGATAATTTTATTCAGATTATTTGTTATTCAAAACTTTGGTCATGAGCATCAGCCATTGTAACAGTTTGTGAATGTGAAAATATATATACGTGTGTGTGTATGTGTGTATGTAATAAAAAAAGGAAAGAAAAGGTAAGCAAAAAATGTTGAAAACGGTGAGAAAAGTATGTGAGAAAA